TATATATGCTAACAAATATATGTCTATCTGTGAGGACATCATTTGAGTTTCAAAAATGACTTGTAAGAAAATGAGGACAAGTATTGCTATTCCATTTTACAAATGAGGAAGCTCACGATCAGCTTCATGCCATTTACTTGGTTACACCACTACTAAGGAATAGAGCCTAGGTTAGCATCCAGCGTTTCTGGCTTCCATGTTCCATGGATCTGTCCAGTTCTTTCACCACACTATATGGATTGAAGAGCAGAAATCTCAGTAAATGACAAGTGAAGACTTTTTTCCTTTTATAATATGTTTATTGAGGTAACACTCATTTACAACACTGTATATATTTCTGTGGTATAGATTCACACCTGTACAAATTTATGTTCTCATCCACCACCACAGCACCACTAACAAGACTTTTACAATAAATGCATTTGATCTTTGTCTCAAGCAAGGAAAAAAATGGTATAATGTAAAAGTACAGGTACTACCAAATCTCAGGTCTATAAACAATAATAAATGGATGCCAGTTATCACTATATCTTAGAGGCCTTCTCTTGCTATTTTTTTTTTTTTTTGTGAATTTTTACCCAAGGGACTGTAACTTCAGAAGTGAAATGCGGTCAATTCAGATAGAACTTGTTCTTTCATCATTTTGCTTCTTCTTTACTGTTATCATTTATTTCATTTCTGCTGTGGTAATGAATCTCTTAAAATACAGAATTAAAGAACAGGCCACACTTTGGCAAAAGCTTGCCCATGGGTATATGTTTCAGCCATAATGAAGTTGCTGTTTTAAGACAAAACTTCTACTATAATATAGAGACCACTGTACACTTGATCTTAGCCAAAAGGCCAAGAAGTGATTAAAGACCACTATAAACATATCCTTAATATTCCTGTCAACATGCCAATATAAAAGTAAAAAATACAAAGCAATATTTACATTTAACTTCCACTTATAATGCATATCACAAAAATTCTTACATGTAATTATACAATTTTCATAAATATCAATATTTCTTAGAATAAGTTGTTATGTCAACACTGAATTTTTTTTTCAGAAATCCACTGTAGTTAATATTGATCCCCATAATCTTTAGAAAAGTAGACCCCTTTTTCACTTTTGAAAAGATAAATTTGAATTAGTTCTGTTCACATATGGGAGAGCCAGTAACTTCTAAAGGACGGATTGTATGTGTATAGAGAGAGAATTCCTTAGGAGACCTTCTAAGAATGAACAACAGATATTCCACCATTCTCTTTTGTTGCCTTGAGGAGGAAGCAGAAGAAAATTAGATACACGCTGGCCTTTGCCAAAGTTTATCTTTTTGTTTCCAAATACTACATTTCCTTTGGGGCCACTTGTCTGAGTATTAGGCTGTCTTAGCACTTGCACATTCTGTCTTGGAATAGGTGGCCTTACTTTGTCTAATCAGTCAGTGCTGTAAAGGAAGAGGATGAAATGACATTTTGTGTAGTCCTGCATCATTTCCAGTTCTCAGCTGATGGCATGCATACAAAGGGTTATATTAGGATGGTTGAGTACTATTTGCTAATTTTATACCTTAAAATGGCTGGCTCTTATAATTTGTAAATTTTGATCTCAGGCTTGTTTTTTATAGTGCTAAAATGTAAATATTCTCTACCTTTGAATAAATAGTCATAAAACAAATTATAAATTAGTTCATAGTTGTGGAATGAATTTTTAACACATGAAATCTATCTGTAATTTCAAATACAGTAGATGCATAAATGAGATTTATAGGCACATATTTAGTTATTTGGAAATTATTGATGGAAATGCATATTTTTATTGTAAATTACTTGAGGAAATTCTTGTTTGGGAAACTTTTCATTGTTTGGTACTAGAAGGTTTAAATTATTCATTACGTATTTCTTCTCCTCTTTCTGGCAGTGAGACCTTCTTCTTGGGTGCATAGGCTATACTGGACAAAGAATGGTTTCTAAATGTAGACAGCCTTCTCCTAAAGTTCCCCCCAGAAAAGAAATATAGGAGAGGATCAAAGCAACAGTTTGAGGCAGCCAAAGACAAGGTTATGACCACTGATTTTTGCATTCTAAGGACAGAGTCACAAGGCTTACTTTCATTGTGTAAAAAATGAAGGTGGATGGTACGTTGAATATGATATGGCATGAAACTGATCAAAAAGGCAGCTGTCACAACTATGATCATTCCTATGGCTTTTTTACGACTTGATAGATTTTTCTTCATTGAATTTTTTAGTAGGGTCAAAATGATCATTGTGTAGCAGACAATTATAATAACAAAAGGAATGATAAAACCGACAAACAATGATATATAATGCAAGATCAAAACATTATTTATACTTTGAATGTCTTGTGGAGGCTCAAAGCACTTGGTATTATTATTCTCATCTTTGTAAAGTTTGGATGTTAAAAATGGAGAACTGGTCAAAATAACAAAAATCCAAATGCCAGCACTCACAAATCTGGCTTTTTTCTGTGTAACCAAATTGAGGTTCTGGACCGGGAAAACAATTGCAATGCATCGGAAAAAGCTCATGGCTGTCATAAAGAAGATGCTACAATAGAGGTTGACATACAAGGCATAGGTGGTGAGGCGGCACAAAAAGTCACCGAAGAACCAAATTCCTCTGTGAACATAGTAGACTACACGGAGAGGCAGTGTACACACACACAGTAGATCTGCTACTGCTAAATTGATCATGTATATTTGGAAGGCTGACTTCTCATGATATGTTTTTATGAGGACATAGAGCACAAAGCTGTTGCCAAAGAAGCCCACAACTGAGATCATAGAGTACAGTGTAGAATATACTTGATTACGGAAGTCATCAATAGTGTCATTGCATGTATTGTTATTGGCTGAAGATACTGTCAGATTTCCAACTCCGTCCATGTTTCTCTGGGAATGTCTGCTTGGTGCCTACAATATATACATAGATAAGATCTTGTCAGTTTTCACCAGACCATAACTTACAGTAAGTACTACAGTTTCATTGTCTAACATAGCTATGTCTACTTTTTTGACCACAACAAGAAGCAAAGGTAGTGGGAAATGAGAAGGGAGTCAACTCCAGAAAAGGTTTTGGGTCCTACAGGAACCCAGAAAGCTCTTCTCCCTCTCTTTTTCTATCCATGTTTGTCTGATGGATTTCATAATCTTCAAAACCTAGTTAAAGCAGATGTGTCTTATTTTAAATCATATTTAAGTGAGATTGTTTTCGATCAGAGAAATGCTTTTAAAATAGTTTTGTAAATACATATGTATGTATGTATGTATGTATCTGTCATCTATCTATGTATCTATTGGAAGGGCATTGAATTTGCCTCGAGAGTAAAATCTGGGAGAAAATGCCTCATTCCCTTAGAAGCAGGCTTTCTAGGTAACATGCTGGTGATGCTCATAGCTAGCTAGTTGACTATTTAGAACTACAACAACAAAGCCGGAGATTTTTTTTTAAAAAATGATTCTAGGCGACAAGACTAGAATTGCTATTTAAAAAAAAAATCTTAGTTTTTAAATTTATATTGAGGTTATACTTGGATGCCCCATCAAGGTATTGCCACTTTAGTGCACCCACCACCAAATCACCCTTACCCCACTACCATAACCCATGTGCTTTTTTCCCCTCTTTCTTCTTATCTATCCTCTCTCCCACTCTGGATGCTTCAGTTCTGTAGTCAGCTTTCAAGGACTAATTTTTTTTTTAAGATTTATTTATTTATTCATATAGAACTGGGGTATAGGCCAGAGATGCGGAGGGTGAGAGGACCCACCAGAGACAGAGTGGGGAGCAGAACAGGCAGATCAATGAAGTACACTGTTGAGGGGTGCAGCAGGCGGGTTAGGAGAGGTCTGCTGCGCCATATGGTCTCCTCCTGGGCAGGCGGGGATCAAACTCATGCCGAAGTGGCTTTAGCTTCTCAGTGCAGTGCTTTAACCCACTGTGCCACCAGGGAGGGCCTCAAGGACTAATTTTTAATCTTGTGTTTATCTGATTTTTAGTTTAGTTACTTTATATTCCATATATTAGTGACACATCTGGTATTTATCTTTCTCCTTACTTAACCCCTCCAGATCCATCCATGTTGCCATAAATGGCATGAATTTCTTTTTGATTGTCGAGTAATATTCTAGTGTGTATATATACCACGTTTCTTGACCCATTTATTTGTTTTATTTCCATGATTTCGCTATGGTAAATAATGCAAAGCTGGAGAAACTTCTGAATCCACCAAGTTATTTTAATGAGGAAAAATTCCACACGTGTGAAATTTATAATATCTGCACTACAAATTAAGGATCTGAGGAAAGATGTAGCAAAACTAGTTAGAATATCTTTATGGGTGAGGGAATTTTTATATTTGGTCATTCTTACACTCTTTCATAGGAAGCACATTCAGAGCTTTACTGTTTAACAGTATGTGGTCATCTCTTTTACAGCAGGAGGTTGTTACTTTGTCTAGCCTAGTTCAGTTGTAT